TTCCTGGGCCCCAGGACCTCTTTCCCATCTTCAATCTCTTAAGTCATACCTTGGGAGGCCTCCCCCAGCCCGAAGTGTAAAGAGGATGTCCCTTTGGTGCCTGTTAACATGTGCCTTCCCCACTGATCTGGAGCTCTGCAAAGGAGAGGGCACACCCAATAGGTGTGTGTGGGATGGGTGGGAGGTTGGGTGACTCCAGTATATGTATGTGGGATAGTTGGGTGGGGACCCCCAGTAGGTGTGTGTGGGATGGATGGGAGGGTGGGTGACCCCCAGTATATGTATGTGGGATGGATGGGAGGGTGGGGACCCCCAGTAGGTGTGTGTGGGATGGATGGGAGGGTGGGTGACCCCAGTAGGTGTGTGTGGGATGGATGGGAGGGTGGGTGACCCCAGTAGGTGTGTGTGGGATGGATGGGAGGGTGGGTGACCCCAGTAGGTGTGTGTGGGATGGATGGGAGGGTGGGGACCCCAGTAGGTGTGTGTGCCCCAGTAGGTGTGTGTGGGATGGATGGGAGGGTGGCTGACCCCAGTATGTGTATGTGGGATGGATAGGAGGGTGACTGACCCCAGTAGGTGTGTGTGGGATAGATGGGAGGGTGACCCCCCAGTGTGTGTATGTGGGACAGATGGGAGGGTGGGTGAGTGACCCCCAGGAGGCGTGTAGAGGGTGGGTGGGTGGATGTGGATGAACAGCACCTTGTTTCTTCTTCCCAGGTGGCTTCTGGCACAGTAGCTTAATTGACCGGAACCTCATTGATTATTTTGTTCCCTTCCTCCCCCTGGAATACAAACACCTAAAAATGTGTATCCGAGTGGAAATGCAGTCCCGAGGCTATGAAACTAATGAAGACATTGTAAGCAGAGTGGCTGAGGAGATGACATTTTTCCCCAAAGAGGAGAGAGTTTTCTCAGATAAAGGCTGCAAAACAGTGTTCACCAAGTTAGATTATTACTACGATGACTGACAGCCATGATTGGCAGCCGAGTCTCTGCTTGGAGTTGGAAAAGAAACAACACTCAGTCGTTTCACGCCTCCTCCCCCAGCTCCTTTCCCTGGAAGAGGAATCAGAGTGAATGTTTCCTGTTTGATGTGACAGGAATTCTCTCCCCGGCATTGTTTCCACCCCCTGGTGCCTGTAGGCCACCGAGGGACCATGGGCAAGGACACGAAGCTTCCCCAGCCCGCACAGAAGGAAGGAGCCAGCTGCCAGCCCACGCATCGCAGGGCTCATGATTTCTTACAAATTATGTTTTAATTCCAAGTGTTTCTGTTTCAAGGAAGGATGAATCAGTTTTATTGAAAATGTGGTAACTTTATTTAAAATGATTTTTAACATTATGAGAGACTGCTTAGATTCTAAGTTGTTGGCCTTGTGTGTGTGTTTTTTAAGTTCCCGTCACTATAACATATACTGTGATGTATCTTTACTGGAAATGAGCCCAAGCACACGTACGTGGCATTTGTGCCACAGGAGGGCATTGCCGGGGATGTGGCTGGAGCACGAGCCAGCTCTGTCCCAGGATGGTCCCAGCGGACGCTGTCGGGGCAATGAAGTGTTTAGATGAAGGACAAGTAGGTAAGAGGATGCCTTCAGGCACCACAGATAAACCTGAAACAGCCTCTCCAAGGGTTTTAACCTTAGCAACAAAGGGAGCTGTGGGAATGATTTTGGCAACACTATCAACATTTGTTAGAACAAATCTTTTGAAAGAAAAGCATTTCCAGCTTGTCACTTGCCAGTCACTCTATTTTGCAAAAGGTGGCCCTTCACTGTCCATTCCGAATGAGCCACACGTGCTCTGTGGATTCTAAATTATGTGAATTTTGCCACATTAAGTCTTCCTCATTTATACTATTTTTTGTTACATTCAGTCAAATCCCCGAAACCTCCTATAAAGCTTAGCCGCCCCTTCTGAGGATGCTGAGAACGGTGTCTGTCTTTATAAATGCAAATGGCTACCGTTTTACAATAAAATTTTGCATGTGTCATTGGTGAGTACGTTTTTGAAGAGGGGGAAGTGCCCCTCCACTGTAGGCCTTGTGAGGTGACACTGCGAGTGAAGACCTAGCAGAACAATCCAGGTTGGAAAGAAAGTCTCACACAGGGATCTGAGGATCTTACGATGGCTCTGTCCCCTCGCCCAGTGGTCTGGGAAGTCGCCCTCCATTGTGCGGTTCTTGGAGCTCCTGACACCCAGCCACGGAATTCAAGTACAGCTGAGATGCCAGCAGGAACAGCACTGTAGACTAAGGTAAGCACTGTGTTCCCGCACGTGGGCAGTGCTCCCATGGGTGCGGCTGCTGCTGCGGAGAGCACTGCAGGAACCACTTCAGGTAGGCACAGAAGACGAGTTGGTGGCCTAAGCTGCAGGTCTAATGCAAGTCTCCTCTGCCTTATGGCTCCCCAGCTTGCATGGGGTCCCACTAGGGCACCCAAGCCCTAAAGATGGCTCCAAGCATTAGAAAGTTCGTGGTATTTAGCTACAGCCGGCCTGTTACGTCCCTGGGAGTGACAGATGAGGTCTAATCATTCATTTGAAGAGTGTGGCCCAGGCACCAGAAGTCCCAAGTTAAGGAACACGGGTCCCCTGACAGTTTTTGGAAGGTTCAGTCTTTGTAGATGAGGCCATGTGGGTAGAACAGGAACTGCGTTAGACTGAGAACCAGACCTAGAAAGTTGGTCTCCTGGGAATGGAGTACCTTCAGTTGAGAAATTAAGGGAGTGGGTGGGGTGATGGTGATGAGGGTTTGTGCTTTCTAGTCAATCTGCTAATCCTCAATCCTGTGAAGAGGGTAGGTGCTAGCCATTCACTGACAAGAGACAGTACCGGGTTACGTGTAATTAAGCCAAGATCAGATTAGCATTTAGGATTTCTTTTTTTTTTTTTTTTTTTGAGACGGAGTTTTGCTCATTGCCCAGGCTGGAGTGCAATGGTGCGATCTCGGCTTACAGCAACCTCCACCTCCCAGGTTCAAGCGATTCTCCTGCCTCAGCCTCCCGAGTAGCTGGGATTACAGGCATGCTCCACCACGCCCGGCTAATTTTGTATTTTTAGTAGAGATGGGGTTTCTCCGTGTTGGTCAGGCTGGTCTCAAACTCCCAACCTCAGGTGATCCGCCCGCCTCAGCCTCCCGAAGTGCTAGGATTATGGGTGTGAGCCACCACGCCCGGCCTCGGATTTCTTATTTACCAGTTTTTACCAGTTTCAGGGGTTAGGTTTCCTCACCTGAGCTCAGGTTCAGGATGTCAGAGGTCTTTACCAGTACCTCAGTTTCCTCCCACATTAATTTTGGGAGAAAGTATTTTACTGGAAGTCTGTCTTTGATGAAATATCCATCAGCTAATTTAACTTCTTTGCATCTAGGGGAAGAGCTTTTAAGGTAAATACTGCTTCTGTATCACAGATTGCCCACCCGCCTGTCCAGGGAACAGTGAGTCTCACAGCTGTGCTGCTGAAATTCATTCTGAACTTTGGTACCAAATGAACCAGAAAAAAAAAGTTAGCAAGTGGCATTTCACATGATAAAATCTAGGCTTTATTATTTTATATTCAGTAGGTCAGTAAAGCTCTTGTCCACATCTTACAAAGGAGGTGGAGGAGGCAAGGTCATGATCAACCATGGCCTTTTCAAGTTACAAATCAGTAATAGCAGTCCAAAGGTGGCAAATATGTATTTATTGCATCACTGTAAACAGAGAAAATCTTGTCTCCTCTCAACCGGATGCCCAACATTTTATAAAAGAAGTATAACTTAGCTCCAATTTGAGGATACGTACTAAAAATTTTAAACCTCACCTTGGTGTTTTTTTCAAGACTAAGTGTGATACGCTGTAAGGCATTTCCATGTCATAAATTCTGCCGTATTTTTATGTAAAAAATGGTGCACATTGTTGTAATTGTGTCTGCAGCTGTGCTGCGATTATGAGACAGGTAACAATGATTCACACTGGCTGGAAGCTAAGTCTCACAGCCCAGGGATCAGGGCAGTCCAGCCTGGCGCTGCCACAAAGGGTGGTGGTATCAGGTCACACCCAGGACCTGCCACGACTTTAGACTGACCTTGTTTGATCCACAGTTGCGACCACGTATTACCACAAATTTAACAATAAAAAATTGTTTAAAGAGTATCTGAGAAAGGACTAAGCAATCATTCCATTTTGTGTCCTTCCCTTGTTTTAAAACGAGCAATGTCCTTTAAGATCTGCAAGCTGACTGTTCCGTCTGGGACCATGTCATCCTTCCAGAACGAGCACATCCTAGGATTTCAAATGGTTCTACAAAATAAAAGTGAGAGATTGACCCAAGTATAAAGTCTTAACAAGCATCTCACCATGGAAACCAAGGACTCACATTGAAAGCCAGTGGTCTCATTGTGACTCAACTCTATGACGATAGATGGTTGGAGGGACTCTAGCAGTGAGCCAAGCTGAGATGCGGCACAAGGCAGGCTGGGGACGATATCAGCTGAGATGGTGAAGGATTCCACAGCCAGGGCTGTATTAGCAGCCAGAACAATGGACAGCCGGGAGGGACCTGTCCGTCCAGGTCTGCTGCAGAGGTGTTAGGTGAAGGCCCCACCCCACACACAGACAGGTCAGCCCAGATCAAGAGTGCTCAGCGGGCACGGCCACATCCTCCTGTCAGACACCGTCTGCACCTCCACCCCCGATTGTAACTGAATATACTTCAAGTCAGTGAACTCTCTCTGTGTAAAGAACGAAACAGAGGCCAGGCGCAGTGGCTCAAGCCTGTAATCCCAGCACTTTGGGAGGCTGAGGCGGGCGGATCATGAGGTCAGGAGATTGAAACCACCCTGGCTAATGCGGTGAAACCCCATCTCTACTAAAAATACAAAAAATTAGCCAGGCGTGGTAGCGGATACCTGCAGTCCCAGCTACTCAGGAGGCTGAGGCAGGAGAATGGCGGGAACCCGGGAGGCGGAGCTTGCAGTGAGTGGAGATCGCAGCACTGCACTCCAGCCTGGGCGACAGAGCGAGACTCTGTCTCAAAAACAAAAAAAGAACGAAACAGAGCAAAAGGATGTTTTCGGCCAATAAGAGCCCAGCGTTCCCCAGCCTGCCGGTGGGAAGCCAGTGCCCCTCAGCCTGCAGCAGCTTCCTGGACTCCTTTAGTGCTGACAGTAGCTTCTGAGGTGCGGGTGCTGTGAGTCAGAAACCATTGCCAGGCCTGCCATGTACAGCTGTTTTCAGGCACTTCTGTCACGGTCAGTACATTAAGTGTGAAGGGGATTTTAAAAGTTCATCTTCAGCTGCAAAGAAGAGCTGGACGGCTGTTGATGCTGTCATCTTGCAAAATGACAAATGCACGCAATAGATTCACGTGTTTTCCAAAATCAACTCTTAGATTCTAGATCCCAGCCGGGCACCGTGGCTCATGCCTGTAATCCCAGCTACTCGGGAGGCCGAGGCATGAGAATCCCTCAAACTGGGAGTGGAGGCTGCAGTGAGTTGAGGATTGCACCACTGCACTCCAGCTTGGATGACAGAGCGAGACCCTGTCTCAACAAAGAGATTCTATATCCCCAAACTCTAAGGTGCAAACAGGCAAAACCCCAAAGCGGTCTTCAGGGTTCTTCTGCAAGGCAAGGCCTCTGCTGTGCGGAGCGTCCCAGCTGCCTCCTACCCCAGCCAGATAGGAGCTCAGTGGAAATCAAGCCGCGACTGCACGGTCTTGCAGCCCTTGTCTGAGTAGATTTTCTCGTCTTTGGGGAAAAACGTCATTTCCTCTGCCACTCTTGTGACAATGTCTTCATCTATAGCAGAGCCACGGGCCCTCATCTCGGCCCTTACACACATTTTCACATGTCTGTACTCCAAAGGCAGGAAGGGGATAAAGTAATCAATGAGGTTTTTGTCGATCAGTCCACTGTGCCACAGGCCACCTGCAGAACAAGACAAAGCTGGGTTTCCCGCCACCACTGCCACCTGGCCAAGCTCCAATCCCAACCCTCAGCACATGCCTCAAGTCCGTACCTCTTAAGAGAGTCTCTTGTCAGTGTGCAACACGCCCATGTAGGACTCAGCTGGACACTCACTAACTAGTTTCTAGGACAGTATGACCTAAGAAAATTCCCGACTTTAGCAAAACCAGAAGTCCAGTGGGATCCTGTGGCTTTGTGAAACAATGCAAGAGCAGATGGCTCACTGCCGGACAGTAAAGGGGCTCCTTTACCCTGGTGCACTCACTGTGTTTATTATTGAAGACTCCAACAGACAGTACAGGTTCCAGGTCCTTCAGCTGAATGTCTTCCCTCTTTCTTCCGGCCCGCCAAAAGTCAAGAGCTGTCTTAGTTATAAGGTCCCCGCCTGCATTGCTGAGTTTGCCAGAGAAATAAAGATTAAAATCACATATTAAGACTTCTGTGTCAGCCGGGTGTGGTGGCTCACACCTGTAATCCCAGCACTCTGGGAGGCCGAGGCAAGCGGATCACCTGAGGCCAGGAGTTCGAGGCCAGCCTGACCAACATGGAGAAACCCCGTCTCTACTAAAAACACAAAAATTAGCCAGGCTAATGGTGGTGCACACCTGTAATCCCAGCTACTCGGGAGGCTGAGGCGGGAGAATCGTTTGAACTAGGGAGGCAGAGGTTGCAGTGAGCCGAGATCATGCCATTGCACTCCAGCCTGGGCAACAAGAATGAAACTCTGTCTCAAAAAAAAAAAAAAAAAACCACAAACTTCTGTGTCTTACCAAGAAATGAACCTGCTCTATTTTCCCTTTTTTGAGACACTCTGTCACCCAGGCTGGAGTGCAGTGGTGCAATATCGGCTCACTGCAACCGCCACCTCCCAAGTAGCTGGAATTACAGGTGCCTGCCACCACGCCCCTTCTAATTTTTGTATTTTTAGTAGAGATGGGGTTTCACCATGTTGGCCAGGCTGGTCTTAAACTCCTGACCTCAAGTGATCTGCCCACCTCGGCCTCCCAAAGTGCTGGGATTACAGGCGTGAACCATCACGCCCAGCCAAAGATCTATTTTCATAAAGGAGTATTTACTGAGTGCTACTACAAAAAAGTGTCTGCTCTCATGGAACTTAAAATGTTTATTCACAACTAAATGAGATAATGCTATGGCTCTTTAGAACCCTAAAAATGAACACACGCAATTAATAAAATTACCTGTTTTCATTTGTTTCATTTTTAGGGTCAGGGTCTTGATTTGTCACCCAGGCTGGAGTGCAGTGGCATGATCATAGCTCAATAAAACCTTGAACTCCTGGGCTCAACCAATCCTCCTGCCTCAACTTCCCCAGGAGCTGGGACTCCAGGCCCATGCTACCATGCCCGGCTAAAATTGCCTGCTATCATTGATTCTTTTTTTTTGAGACAGAGTCTCGCTCTGTCGCCCAGGCTGGAGTGCAGTGGCGCGATCTCTGCTCACTGCAAGCTCCACCTCCCGGGTTCACGCCATTCTCCTGCCTCAGCCTCCTGAGTAGATGGGACTACAGGCACGTGCCACCACACCCAGCTAATTTTTGTATTTTTAGTAGAGACAGGGTTTCACCGTGTTAGCCAGGATGGTCTCGATCTCTTGGTGATCCGCCCACCTCGGCCCCCCAAAGTGCTGGGATTACAGGCGTGAGCCACCGCTCCCGGCCCAGTGATTATTTCTTTAGTTCATTTCCACAACCCACACTGTGTGCCATGCTGAGACTGACAAAGGAAAAGAAAAGTAAAGCAGTAGGTAAGTGCCTTGTGCCAAGCAGGCACTTTTGTCCTGGTAAACCAAGTGCTGATGGTCCTCGGGACCTCATTTTATCATTGAGAGAATGAAGGGCTTGTGTGCCCCAGAAGACCGCCTCCCGCTGACCTGAGAAAGATGAAGATGGCTTTGCGGTAAGACACTCCGTCAACCTGCTCGTAGTAGTCTAGAAACGGCTTGATTGCGTCAATGATCCCGGGATGCAATTTATCCATCTCGTCAAATATGAAAACAGAGTTTGCACATGCACTCACATTACCGCGGATCCACTTCTGTAACTGGTCCTGGACCAACCGTGAAAGAAGAAATAGGATGCGAAGCTCAAAGGGTGCACCAAGAGGACCGCAGGAACCATCTGCTCCTCATGCACTGAAGGACAAGGTCAGAGCTCTTAGAACTGCACCCTCACCCACACTCGCTGGGTAATAGCTTTTCTAAAACCTTATTTCTAAAAAGTGGAAATTGGCAGAGACAGATGCTAAAATGCAAAGAAGCTTTTTCCTAACTCAAATGACATGTTAAATGTGACTTTTTAAAGGTGTAAGAGGTACCAGACCTGTGATTTTTTTTCTTTTTTTTTTTGAAACAGGGTCTTGCTCTATCCCCTAGGCTGGTGTGTAGTGGCACGATCTCGGCTCCGCCTCTTGGGTTCAAGAGATTCCCCTGCCTCAACCCCCCGTGTAGCTGGGACTACAGGCGCCCCCATCCCCCACACCACACCTGACTAATATTTTTTTTTTTGAGATGGAGTCTCGCTCTGTTGCCCAGTCTGGAGTGCGGTGGCCAGATCTCTGCTCACTGCAAGCTCCGCCTCCCGGGTTTACGCCATTCTCCTGCCTCAGCCTCCCAAGTAGCTGGGACTACAGGTGCCCACTACCTCGCCCGGCTAGTTTTTTGTATTTTTTAGTAGAGACGGGGTTTCACCGTGTTACCCAGATTGGTCTCGATCTCCTGACCTCATGATCCACCCGTCTCGGCCTCCCAAAGTGCTAGGATTATAGGCTTGAGCCACTGCGCCCGGCCACCTGGCTAATTTTTGTATTTTTAGTAGAGACAGGGTTTCGCCATGTGCTGGGCAGGCTGATCTCGAACTCCTGACCTCAGGTGATCCACCCACCTCACCCTCCCAAAGTGCTGAGATTACAGGAATGAGCCACCTGGCAAGATCTGTGAATATCATTCACTGCTAACCTAGCCATAGTTTTCATCTCTCTTGGACTACGATCTCAAGTTAGTACCACTAGACATACTGAGGAATAAGAAACTAGATTAGACCTGCATAGTACACAGTACCCCACACCAACAGAGCTGACTCACTGACATTTCATGAAAAGTATCTGTTCCAGATGCTTTCATGAAACAAACATAAAGACACTGAAGCAACAAGCGCTCTACCCCAAAGTGTGAAAGGCTGTACCATGAAGCTCCCCGGGACATGCCCTCATCCATTTATATTACTCTGTTTCTAGAGATTTAAAAAGGATGTAGAAAACAAGAAAATCCTTCCTTCCTTTTTGGCAGTCTTCCCTGTCTCATGTCAGTTTGTAGGGCAAATACTTCTACTTCCTTGTTCAGTTAAGTTTCTGTTTCTTTCTTCAGTCCCCACCTAACAGGAGGAATTTTTTTTTTTTTTTCTTCGAGATAGCCTTACTCTGTCGCCCAGACTGGAATGCAGTGACACAACCATGGTTCATTGTAGCCTCAGTCTCCTGGGCTCAAGCTATCCTCCATGTCCGCCTCCCAAGTAGCTGGGACTACAGGTGCATGCCACTACACCTGGCTAATTTTTTATTTTTTGTAGAGATGGGGTCTTGCTATATTGCCAGTGGGAATGTTAACCTTGACAAGGGCAACATTCATTTAAATGAGAACTAACCCTCTTAGACAACTTAAAATACATGTGAAAACAATATCCCAAAAGGAGAAACGGTCTCAAGGTTCAGTTCTTTGAGGCTTCCTTTGAAGAAAGCAATGCCAAGGACATGAAGGATGGGAGGAACAAAGGGAATAAAACCTGTTTAAGAGAAAAAAGACCTCTAGGCTACATTGCAAAGAGCAGAGGCAAAGCTGAGGCTGCACCAGAGGTGGGCAGCATCGAAGGAAGCCACCCCCAAGCTAATCCTTGAAGACTGACTGCCCCTCTCACCAACTGCACTGCTGCAGATGCCGGATCCCTTCACTCACCGGAGAAGGTGGCTACCATGTCAACTGGGAGTTGGGAGGTTTTGGTTCAAGTTCCTGCTCTGCCACAAAGATTATAAGGAGTAAGTCACCTTGCCTCTCTTGGCTCCAGGCTCCATCTTTTTTTTTTCTCTCTCTCTCTTTTTTGAGACAGAGTCTCACTCTGTTGCCCAGGCTGGAATGCAGTGGCACAATCTCAGCTCACTGCAACCTCCGCCTCCTGGGTTCAAGCGATTCTCCTGCCTCAGCCTCCCGAGTAGCTGGGATTACAGATGTGCACCACCACACCCAGCTAATTTTGTGTTTTCAGTAAAGATGGGGTTTTTCCATGTTGGTCAGGCTGGTCTTGAACTCTCGACCTCAGGTGATCCACCTGCCTCGGCCTCCCAAAGTGCTGGGATTACAGGCCTGAGCCACTGCACCTGGCATTGACTACATCCTCTTTATTTTTTTTTTTTTTTTGAGACCGAGTACAGTGGTAGGACCTGGGCTCACTGCAACCTCCACCTCCCAGGTTCAAGTGATTCTCCTGCCTCAGCCGCCCGAGTAGCTGGGATTACAGGCACGCGCCACTGTGCCCGGCTAATTTTTGTAGCTTTTGGTAGAGATGGGGTTTCACCATGTTGGCCGGGCTGGTCTCAAACTCCTGGCCTCAAGTGATCCGCCCGCCTCGACCTCCCAAAGTGCTGGGATTACAGGCGTGAGCCACCGCGCCCAGCCCTTAGCACCATCTTTTAATGGGAATAATATGCCCTACCCCACTGGACCGTTTTGGAACCAAGTAAGAGAAATGCTGTAGGAGAGCTTTGTAACTACCTGGACTAAGTGTGCCTTAACTCAGTGGAGCCGGGGGCTACTGCAACACAAAGGAAAGAGAAGCAGAGGCCAGAGTTAGTGAGCAGGTCACCCAGACCAGTCCGACTGGCCTGCGGATGAGATAATAGCGGGTTCTCTTGCCTGGTACAGTTTTATCTTCTGTTCATGAGGGAAGTGCAGAGTCGATACAAACAGGTGGACAAAGTTACTCTTCAGGCCTTTTGGGTGAAGATTTTCAGCCACAATTTGACTGACAAAATTCTTGCCTGTGCCAGCCCAGCCGTGTAAGGAAAGGGTCAAAGGTTTCTTGGGATTTTTGTTGTTCCTGAAGCCAGTCAGGGCCTTGAGAATCACTTCCGTGGCCAGATGCTGTCCAAACAGCTTCTCCTCCAAATCCAGCTTGAGAGCTGCAAGAACAGCCCCAGAACAGAAAGAGAAACAGACGTTAAAAATGCATCAGCAACGCAGTACTTTCCCAGCTGCCCAAAGCAAGAACGACCCAGCAGGGTGTCTGCCAAACCCTAGGGCCGAGGTAGTCAAATGATGCCACTTTCAGGTAAACGGATTATGTGGAGGTTCTTAACGTTTTGGGGTCTGATAGGGAAGCTAAATGTTCATCCATTCGGAGATGAACCATCGCTTGACTGAGCGCTTGCTATTCCCAGTCACCCCTGCTGGCCCGCAGGAAAACCGGGGCCAAATGTGGGCTTTCTGAGCGACGCAGCACGTCTGAAAGCTACTTAATAGGGTTGGCAGGGTACAGAAGGGCCGCCCACCGTACTTTCCGTTTCTTCTGCCTGTGATCCTCAGGAAGGGGAGCTTTAGAAAGGCGCTGGGGCAGAGCCCCACGACCTGGAGACTGCGAAGGCACCGCTTCCAGGGCTGGAGTTCGCACCGCGTTCCCGCGAACGGTTCCGGGGCCGCCCCATCCGCTCCCCACCCACCCCAGCTGGGACCACCGCCGTCTAGATGCCGCGCGCCCGGTCCGTGCCAGGCGCCCACGAGGCCGTCCCTCCGCGCCCAGTGCACGGCCTGGGGTCGCAGAGGCCCCCGCGCCCCACGCAGCGCCGACCCACCGCTCGCGCGCGCCGTACCCGAAGCGTTGAGCGGCCGCTCCTCGCGGCAACACTCGGCGAAGCGGCAGTAGATGTCATTGTAGGACAGGTAGCCGGTGATGGCCGACGCGGCCCCGATGGCGAGGCCCACGGTGATGGGCTCGAACGCCGCCACCACTCGGGCCGCCAGCAGCAGCGCCAGCGCCGCGGCGCCCCGGAGCCACCCAGCCCGCAACATCCCGCTCCTGGTAGCCCGCAGAAGCCGCTGAGCCGAGCGCCCCGCGGCCAAGCGGCAGTACGGACTTCCGCTCGTGCGTCACTTCCGCCCCGCAGACCCGCCCACTCCCTTGGGGGCGGCCATGTTGGTGAGGGGCGGAAAGGAGGAGGGTGCCATCATCCTTGTGAGTGGCCTGAAGGTGTAGGTGACTGTTGTGTTTCCCTTTTCTTTCTTAAAAAAAAATTTTTTTTTGAGGTGGCGGGCGCCTGTAGTCCCAGCTACTCGGGAGGCTGAGGCAGGAGAATGGCGTAAACCCGGGAGGCGGAGCTTGCAGTGAGCTGAGATCCGGCCACTGCACTCCAGCCTGGGCAACAGAGCGAGACTCCGTCTCAAAAAAAAAAAAAAAAAAAAAAAAATTTTTTTTTCGGGCCGGGCGCGGTGGCTCACGCCTGTAATCCTAGCACTTTGGGAGGCCGAGGTGGACGGATCACGAGGTCAGGAGCTCGACATCTGGCCAACATGGTGAAACAAGCTGCCTGCTTGCACATCTGTCTCCCTGACTAGTTACTTGGACCATAGTAACAGCCTCTACTAAAAATTAAAAATAAAAAAATTATCTGGGTGTGGTGGCGCATGCCTGTAATCCCAGCTAATCAGGAGGCTAAGGCAGGAGAACTGCTTGTCCCGGGACCCGGAAGGCGGAGGTTGCGGTGAGCCGAGATCACGCCATTGCACTCCAGCCTGGGCAACAAGAGTGAAACTCTGTCTCAAAAAAAAATTTTTTTTTTTTGGCGGGGCGCGGTGGCTCACGCCTGTAATCTCAGCACTTTGAGAGGCTAAGGCAGGCGGATCACCTGAGGTCAGGAGTTCGAGACCAACCTGACCCACCTGTAGAAACCCTGTCTCTACTAAAATTACCAAATAAGCCAGGCATGGTGGCGCATGCCTGTAATCCCAGCTACTTGGGAGGCTGAGGCAGGAGAATCGCTTGAACCCGGGAGGTGGAGGTTGCGGTGAGTCGAGATCATGCCACTGCATTCCAACCTGGGCGACAAGAGCGAAACTCTGTCTCAAAAAAATTTAAAAAGCCAAAAAAATGTTTTAAGAACTTTCTTATTTATTTATTTATTTTTGGTCGTCTGATATGTATATTGGGGACAAGGGTCTGGCTCTGTCACCCAGGCTGGAACACGGTGTCAGGATCTCAGCTCGCTGCCACCTCTTCCTCCCAGGTTCAAGCGATTCTCCCATCTCAGCTTCAGTGTAGCTGGAATTACAGGTGCCCGCCAACACGCCCAGCCAACTTTTATGTTTTTAGTAGAGGCGGGGTTTCACCATGTGACCCAAGCTGGTCTCGAACTCCTGACCTCAAGCAATCCACTCGCCTCGGTCTTCCAAAGCCTTGGGTTACAGGAGTGGGCTCATGACTGCATTTGTTTTCTTGAGAGCTTCTCGGAGCCCTCAAGCTTTGCTTTGTCATCCCTCCCTTCACTTCCTCGGAGGTACAATGTGCGTTTCTGGGGCCGGCCCACCCGCCTGCCTTCTTCCTGAAACAGTTGCGAACTCGAGATGCTGCGCCCTAGACTGAGTACAGGGATGCAGCGGCCCCAAGACAGACCTGCCCAGGCTTCCACTCTCAAACCCCGAGGTCCATTCTTTCATTCAGCATTCTAGGTAGCAGGCCTCTTGCTGGATGCCAGGAATGACAGCAGAGGAGGGGACGCAGTTGGTCCCTGCCCTCTCAGAGCTGACAGTCTATGGGGGAGGCGGACAAAGGGGTAAGGACCAATGCTGAGTGGGCAGAGAAGTGTAGGGCAGTGGTGCAGGGAAGGTTTTTGTCTAAGCTGGGCACTGAGGGAGTTAGGCCAGGCCAAAAATGAGGAGTAGAGTGTTCTATGCGGAAAACAACAGCCAGTTTAGAGAACTGAAAGGATTCCACATGGTGGAGGGTGGTGAGAGATAGGGATGAAGAATCAGGCAGAGACTGGAAGGTGGAGTCCTTACGAATGTTGTAAGGAGTTTGGCCTCTGTTCTCGGGGGTAATAGGGAGCCACAGACGGTTTTACACAGGAAGCAACATGGTCAGATCAGAGATCATTCTGGCTGCTGGGTTCACAAGAAATGGAAGGCAGAGAGCCAGTGAAGAGGCTGTTACCATGGTCCAGGTAACTAGTCAGGGAGACAGATGAGCAAGCAGGCAGCTTATGTCCAGGGTGGCCAGGGCTGTAATACAGTACGCACAGAGGCCTGTGGGTGGGGAGGGATCTTCTCCTCCCTATCTCAGTTGTGATCTAAAGAATGAATGGAAGGGCCAGGCACGGTGGCTCATGCCTGTAATCCCGGGACTTTGGGAGGCCGAGGCGGGCAGATCACCTGAGGTCAGGAGTTCAAGACCACCCTGACCAATGTGGTGAAACCCTGTCTCTACAAAAAATACAAAAATTAGCCAGGCATGGTGGTGCACACCTCTAATCCCAGCTACTCGGGAGGCTGAGACAGGAGAATGACTTGAACCTAGGAGGCAGAGGTTGCGGTGAGCCAAGATTGTGCCACTGCATTCCAGCCTGGGCGACAGAGAAAGACTCTGTCTGAAAAAAAAAAAAAGAATAGAAGCTGGCTGCGGGAAGTGGCTCAAACATTTGTTTGTTTGTTTTTGTTTTTGTTTTTTTGAGACAGAAGCTTGCTCTGTTGCTCAGACTGGAGTGCAGAGTGCTGTGCCATGATCTCAGCTCATTGCAGCTTCTGCCTCCTAGGTTCAAGCAATTCTCCTGCCTCAGCCTCCGTAGTAGCTGGGATTACATGTGTGCACCACGATGCCCAGCTATTTCTTTTTTCTTTTTCTTTTTTCTTTTTTTTTTTTTTTGAGATGAAGTCTCGCTCTGTCACCCAGACTGGAGTGCAGTGACATGATCTCTGCTCACTGCAACCTCTGCATCCTGGATTCAAGCTATTCTCCTGCCTCAGCCTCCCCAGTAGCTGAGATTACAAGTGCACACCACCACGCCCAGCTAATTTGTGTATTTTTAGTAGAGACAGGGTTTCACCATGTTGGCCAGGCTAGTCTCGAACTCCTGACCTTGTGATCTGCCTGCCTCGGATCTGTCCCACAGGGGTGTCTGTCACGGTAAGTGCAACCATCTTCACCAGTTGCTTAGCCCCAAACCTAGGAGTTGTCCTGGGTTCTTTTCTCCCACTCCCAACACTTCTAATCCATAAGCAGGTCGTCACCCAATCTGCAAAACATCTCCAAAAACTATTCAGTGGTCTTCATCTCCTTGGCCACTCCCCCGCAATCCAAGCCACCATCACTGGTTGCACGGATGAGCACAGGAGCCCCTAGGCAGTGCCTGTAATTCTCCACACCGCATCCTCTCTGAGTCATTCTCCCTACAACAGGGACAGGTGGTCTTTTTACGAGGAACTGGGTCCTGCTACTCTTGCCTGGTACCTGTTGATGGCTTCCTAAAACCCTTGGGAAGAAACGTGCCCTTCTTCCTCTGGCCTCCCAGCCCCGGTGATGTGCCCACTTTCCTCTTAGAGAACCTTTCCCATCCCACAGCCTCCCTCGTTCTCAGGCCCCTGGCCCCTTCTCTCTCCTGCCTCGGAGTTTTCACATATAACGTGTTCTCAGCCCGTACTCTTGCTTCCAAGTCCTACCCAGCTAACAGCTTCTAACCCTCAGCTCCAACCCCACCTCCCCCCGTCTACAGTAGCCTTACTCGCATCCCCCAGGCACCTGCTCGCTCTCCTATCACCCCGTCTGAGTCCTTGTTTATTGCCCTTCCCTCCCACTGCCATGAGAGCTTCAGGAGGGCAGGGACCTTGTCTTTTGTCCTCTGCATCTCTAATTCCCAGAACTCTGTCCGGGACACAGTAGGTGCTCCATAAATATGTGCTTGGTGTTCAAGGATAGAACACTGTCCAAGAGGGCTGACTGATCTAGGGGCCTAAGGCCCTGCAGAGTAACGGCCTGTCCCTACCATGAAGGACTGACCATGAAAGGGCCAGGACATCCCCTTTGGGGACCCTCTGGGCATCTCTAATCCACCACAGGTCTCAGGAAACCTCTGCCCTGCTCCTCTCCTTCCCCTTGGAAAGTTTACCTTGATTGCGCATCTAAGATTGAGCCAAGTGTCTTGTGAAACAAATGCTTCATTTGCAGGTGAGGGAACTACTGGGAGAGGCTAAGACATGCCCCAGGCCAGGCGACTGCTCCAGGCCCAGCCTCTTCCCCTGACCTGCCACCTTCCCCGGGTGTCCCCATGTTCCTCCCCATCCCACCCCTTCCTGTCTTCTTTCTCATACTCTAATGGGACTGGTTTCTCTGTTTGCTTGAATGTATGGAAACCTTGAAGGCAGGGTTTGTTCTGTTCACCTATGGTGCTTAATGCGGTACTATGTCCATAGCATATGTCAAATATTTGTGAAACACACACTCCCTTTCTGTTGGACAAAGACTCTTCCAAAATGCTGCCTCCAGAAACAGACACGCCTGAGTTTACATTCTGGCTGTCGTGCTTCCTGTGTGACCCGGGGCAAGTCACCTACCTTCTCTGAGCCTCAGGCTTCTCATCCCGTCCGGTGCCGCGCGTTTAGCGCAGCTCCTCTGTCATCATAAGCAAATGCTGGGGGCCTTATGGCAGTGAACTCAATTTCTTTTGTGACCTCTGCTAAGTCCTTCTAGGTACTTGGCTTCAGAAACTCAAAAGCTGCACCCCCAGGAGAGCTATTCCGCAGAGGTGAGGGAGGCTGACTCCATGCAGGCTCATTCTGATGGGCTTGGGGGGCCTTTTCTCACGGGGCAGCTCTAGCCCCATTACATGTCAGGAGTGGTGCCTTGGACATCTCTTCCAGGGACCCCTCAGCTGTCCCACCGCCCCAGGTACAGGAAAGCACGGTGGGGTTTTTCCATCCGTGTTTCCTGCCCACCTCACATGTTTGGTGTCTTTTTTCTTTTTTTTGAGATGGAGTTTTGTTCTTGTTGCCCAGGCTGGAGGGCAATGGCATGATCTCAGCTCATTGCAACCTCCATCTCCTGGGTTCAAGCGATTCTCCCGCCTCAGCCTCCGGAATAGCTGGGATTATAGGCAC